AGCCTCAGGGCGCAAGTACCACCCTGAGCACTTCATCTGCGCCTATTGCCTGGGCCAGCTGCAGAAAGGCACCTTCCGCGAGTGCGGCGACAAGATGTACTGCCAGCCCTGCCACGACAAGCTCTTCCTCTGACCCCTGGCCCCCAGCATGCAGCCACCCTCCCTGCCTGGCTGGATGTCCCCAGTATGGTCTCCACCATTGATATCCCTGGCATCATTCCTTGTCCCCCTCCCCCTCAAGACATTCCTGGCATTGTCCCCTCCACCTAGAGTAATAAAACACCTGGTTCTGCCTTTGTTCCACTCACTCGTGGCTTTGGGGACAAGGGTGCAAGGCCAGGCTGGAGGGTTGGAGCTCCCCACCACCTACTGGTGCATTGGGTCTCCATCTCTCAGGGCGCTGCAAGCCAGGGGTGACCGCCCCAGCTGCCTTTCCCCCATAACCCAGAGGAGAGCAGCCCAAGCCTCCCTGGGGGAGCTGTTCAAACTCCAGCTGTGCTGCACTGTGCATGAAATCAGCACCACCCCAGCCCTGTGTCACTGCAGACCCGCGTCCTGCTACCACAGGGCAGAGAGCTGCTCTGCACACCAGTGAAACCTTTCCAACAGCAACGCAGCTTCAGTAAAAAGCTGGTTTGAAGCGGAAGCCAGATGCTTCCAAACAGGTATTTCCACAGATTTAGAGAATTTCATTCTACATTTATTTTCATGCACACACATGGGTGAAAGCAAAATGAGTTAATGGGGTGTTTTAGCCGAGCTTCAGTATTCCCCAGGAAGGGATGGGCATGTTTGCAGCCTAGCCCTGCTCTGCAGTGGCTCCAGACAGTTTGTTTAAGCACTAGAGAAATTATGGTATTTCTTCACTTGTGCAAAGCCTACCAGCCACCAGAGGAGAGAGAAAATTCAGGGAAAGGCTTCCCAGGAGGAAGCCCCAATGCTCTGGGGAGTGGGAGGGCTCTCAGCTACCTTCTAAGCATCCCCAAGCACCCTGCAAAAATTGTTGGGAGCTCAGAACAAAGCCGTTTCGGTGCTTGTTATTTCTTCTCCTATCTTTTGCTAGAAAGAGGAAACATCACTCCAGCCCAAGAAAGGGTTTGTCACAAAGTGGCATTTTCCAGAGCCACACACAGCCAAGCAACACTCAAGAGCACAGCCCTGCCCTGGGAAAAGACCGTGGTCCCAAGAGCAAAGCTATAAAGGCCAAGGAGGCAGCCTTAGGTGGAAGGCACATAGACGCGCTTTAAAAACTTTATTTATATAAAAAAATCATTTTGTTTTAAAAGCGTTACAAGAGTGTGCACAGGAATCAGACAAGGAACAGCTTGTTGCTCCCCGTTCCCCTCCTTCCTAGGCTCACTCCATGCCAGGGCAGAGGTGGCCCTTGAGAGCCAGGGCAAGGCAGAGAAGGGGGAAGATTTTTTTTTTTTTTTTGGTTCATTTGGAATTAAAAATTTAAAAAGGAATTAGTGTTTTACATATTTAAAGGAAAAGAGTTAGACCCCAGAACAAAACCAAACCAAGCTGAGGTGAGGCTGGAGCCAAGGATGGCTCAGCCAGAGCTGGGAGGTGCTTTTAGTCAAGAGGAGTGGGCAGGAGCAAGGCATGAGTTCTCCTGCTGCAGCCTCCTCACTCCCCAAGTAAGCCCATGGTCCAGGGGGAGCTCCAGGCTGGGCAGGGCTCCTGCTCCAGTTTGCAACCTCCTACAGAGGCTTCCAGTTGCATAGGGAGCCCAAGGGCCCTCCAGAAGATCACAGCACTTTGATGTGTCCCCACCACAGCAGAGAGGGGGGTGAGGATCTGTTATGTCCTAACTGCTGTGGCAGCCTAGTCTCCCCAGGACAGGATGCAGATGAGAGCCCTGCACCCTATCAGTGAGGGCAGGGGAGCTGGGATCCCCCAAAAACAGGCTTCCAGCCCCACTGCAGACAGCTAAGGCTCCCGGCAGGGCAGAGAAAGGCTCAGCCCTGTGGGAAGTCCAGGAAACACCCCTTCCCCAGCAAAGAAGCCAGACAGTACAATTCAAAGAGCTATTTCACAGTGGCAAAAGAAAGGCACATGTCAAGAGAAAGTCAGAGGGGCACTGCTGCAGGCAGCTGGTGCACGGGGGTGAGAAGGGGGATCCTGGCTCTACCCACCTGCAGCCCTGCCAGCGCCTGCTCCTCATGACTGGTACACAGTGCGCCCCAAGAAGGCTGCTTCTCCTCAAAAGCCCTCCCGCATTTCCTCCTCCCACGGGGACACATCACCTCCCACGCGGGGAGGCCCACCCAAGCCACCCACACTGACCATCTTCTCCACATAAGGGATCCCTCCTCACACAGTCACTGGGCAGGGGCCAGCAGCCCCATATAGACCTCTCCGCAGGATCCAGAGCCAGATACCCCTTCCCAAGCCCCTGAAGCCTCATCTAGAGCAAAGCAAGAGAAGTTATTGCTGTTTTTTCTTCCCCTCACCCCTTCATGACTCCAGCCCCATCCCTCACCCTGGTCCCGCCACCACCAGGGAGGGATGCTCCTGTTGTCCCCACAGCCCTGGTTGAAGAGCGATCCCACACAAAAATATATCCTATAGGCAATAAAACAAACAAACAAACAGGTGGCAAGTGAGGTCTCAGTCTCTGTCCCTGCAGACGTCTCCAAGCAGACGGAAGGTGTGGGAGAGAAGGCAGTTCCTGGTCAAGGCAGAGATCCAGAGTCCTTTTGCAGCATCCATGCCGGCTGATCCGGCTGAGTCA